TTTGGGGTGCTCATGTCGATCATTGCTGTGCCGATAAGGCGATTAAGTCACGTGTTGCTGTGTCCGTAGCAATTCCCTTTATAATATCTATAAAATAAAAAAAATTGTCACATGCCTTTTTCCTTAAAAAAAGCTCATCACATGATTATCGTTTCGAAAATTATTATCCATTGCATTAAAAGTTTATTACATGGCTGTGTTCTTAAAAAAATTTATCCTAATAAAAGTGCCTAAGGACACCCTATTAAAGGGAAAAAAAAGAAAATTATAAATTACTGTATGTGTTTTTAATGTTCATTACATAAAAAAAAAACAATTTTCCTGGTAGTTTGCACATATATAAAGATCGAGAAAACTTCCAAATACATTTAGGTGTTTCAAAAGTAATATGTACGTACGTACGTACCGTACGTAGGAGTATCGAAGTCGTTCAGGTAACGTGATCAGAAAAGTAACGTAATTTTATCAATTGTTACGAAAGCAAATGTTTGTTTATAATAAATACTAAGCCTTTTGTACGTTATGAAATACGTAGTCAACGTAGTCTTGAGTTAAAATTTTACGCTTCTAAAAAAAAACTTTTAATAATTCAGAGCTTATAAACCTATATGGCAGAGAAAAAAAAAAAACCTCGTTGGCTATATCTGTTAATCGTACCAAATTTAATTTTGATGTTCGTATGTCCTATACTTGGTAGGTTGGACAAGTTATTCGTAATGAATTCATATTTCAATTTTTTTTCACTATTTCTTTGATTACAAACGCAGAAATAATAAAAATTAAAATATTCCATGATGCCAATGGTGAATTACACTACAATAAAGGTGCAGAATATGCGTAAGTACTTGCATTTTAAAATATAAAAGAAAATTTGTTTATATTTATAGCTTCTTTTTTTTTTTTTGAAATTAATTTAGCTATTTAATATTCACATTGGCGGTACTTGGTAATGATATTTTCTTATCTTCTGTATTAAAGTTAATGTACATTTTTCATTTTTGTTCTATTTAAATATTATATAGTATTAAACGCATTGGCATTTTTTGGATGTTATATATTTAATATACGGGAGTTTGGCTTTGAATTTAGGTAAAATAATGATATTTTTGTGTTTACTTACGTTTACGCTTATATTCATTCTTTTCATGTGCAGGATAACATCATGTATTTGGGTAGTATTTCCGAGTATGTTATCTGATACTATAATTCATTATATCATCAATTTCTTTTGCAAAAATTTTTATTAACTCATCTAACAACAATTATTTATATTATAACAATAGTAATCTATACATATTTTACGTTCAGAGAAATGGGCAACATCCCATTCACGTGTCCAGGGGCCTATCATTATTCCTCAAGTCTAATCCGCCTGGCTTGTCAAATTCGTATAATAAATTTTATTTTTATGTGGTTATATTTTAGTAGTTTTGTACTTCTTATGGTTGTTAAATGGTATTTACGAGATTATGTGAAAATTCAAAATGAAGAGGCTACAGGTAGTAAAAGTAGGGAGGCCATAGAAGTTGAGAAGCAAATAGAACCTCTGAAACCGGTTGTTACTTCTGATGTTATAAGATAATTGATGATAATTGATGACGATATTGTTAAAGGAATTTCTACTCGGAACGGTTTATCTTTTTATTGTTAAAATATTCCTCTCACTTTCTTTTTTTTTTTTTTTTATAAAAATATTCATTTAATAAATCAAGAAAAAGGATTCACTAATTTCGTTTAATATTTAAATCAAATTAATCCGATTGACGAAGGAGTTTTGGCAGCTTTATACTTTCCGCATATTGCATAAGTAATAATTACAGTATTGTCTGTTATCCGACAAACTCATATGGGGTGTTGTCTATTAAAACAGCCCTTTTTTGCAATTTTTTGAAAAATGAGTTTTCATTAGATTTATATAAATTTTGACATGATCGATATTTTTCAATTATAAATGAAAGGCAGTAGGTTATACAACCCGAATTTTGCATGAATTTATAATTTGATTTTGCCTAGAGTTATGTAGAAAGTAATTCGTTATTTGGCAAAAACAACTATATATATATATATATACTGTGTTAAATTAAATTTTAATTTTCATGAATAATTTCATGATTCATTTATTACATAAAACAAAATTATTGATTAGTACTCTGAAAATCGAATCAAAATTTGAATTTGAATCAAATATTTAAAATTATTTGATCAAAAATTTGATCAAATAATTTCAAATATTTGATTCAAATTCAAATTTTGATTTGATTTTGCGGAGCACTAGAATGAATTAAGCAGGCTATGTCAATTTTAATGTTGGCTGAATTAAACGGACGGTTAAACGTTTAAGAAAATTTTAGATGGTTCTATCTCAGAATAAGGCCAGTTACAGTTATTCAATTTGTGTATCACATGAATGATTAATCCGATTAAATGAAATTAAAATGTCTTTGAGTTGGAATTGGAGATTGAGAATACACATGTATAATATCTTTTAATTATATGTCTTTAACTAATGTGTTAAAAGTAAACCTACAAAATAAAAAATAGTTAATACTATACTCAAGTCAAGAATTGAATATGAATAAGAAATAAATTATATATACTTAATAAACAAAACCATCTTATGAAATTAAAATCATAAAACCATCCTTTGATACCACATAAGACAATAAAACTAAACAAATAACCTATAAAATTACGAAATTTTTTGTGTCCAGTTATTCTAAAATATTGAATTAGTATATTGCAAATCTTATATATTAAACCTGTTTTTAAAAACATACTGTATTGATATAGGATAACTTTCTTCTGATCAGTCAATCACGTATAATTGTATTTATACAGTTTAAAGTACTTTTTAAGAATGTAATATTTTACAAGTAAAAAATAAAAATTAAACACAATGCTATCTTCAAAGAAGTACCAACAGTCACTATGCAAAATAATTCTGAATAATCACACACCTAGAGATACCTTACCTAGGTGAAATTTCTACATTGATTATGACTATAAAACTATATGTGCTAAATCATTAAATACAACTGAGTTATTTAAAGAAAACTAACAGTACAAACACTTTTTTTTTTTAACAATAGATAAGCGATTTCTAAACTATGTTAAAGAGGTTTAAAGCATAATATATACGTGTATATATATAGAGATTACTTTAATGAGTCTTATCATAATGAGCTTTAGATAATGAACGATAGATCCTCAAATACTATATTAGTTCGGTATAAAAGGTGTGATAGACATTTAAAAAATACATATATAGACCTTATTTTTTTCTTTATTCTTTTGTTAAAGTGAGAAGCAATAGAAAATAATTAAGTTTACGAATATGATGTAATTTAATTGGTTGATTGTCATATGCTTCACAATTAGCTAATAATAATGTATTACTCAATTTCATATGACGACCAATCACAAGAAAGTTATCCTATATACTATATTGATAATTTTTTTATTAAACTTGCAGATCTATATATTTATATGAGCAATCTATTGGTAAATTAGTTAAATCTCTAAAATCCTCATATATTCAGTATAAATATAAATATTAGTATAATAAAGTGTAAGTATAAATATAATCTTGAGTCGTTAACACTAACACGTAATTTTCTTCGACAGCGATATCAGCGAGAAGTAGGGCAATATAAATATTGAAATGATAATGGATGATCTTTTTCAATAATTATTCCTTGTATTGTATATTTGCGAAAATTTTCTTGCATTTTTTATTACAAATATTTATGAACCAAAAAGTCCGCTAAATTATGTAAACTTTAAGGCATAGTAATTAATATTGCATTTAAGAAGAAAATCTTTTAAAGAATTACTATTAAATACTTTTAGTAGAGGTTTTACAAATAATAAGATTAAAAAAAAGCAAATATTTGAATATGATGAAATACACTCCTCCGCTTTATTTGTCAATCAAAAAATTTGGTTATTTTTTTTTTTGAATCTTTCAAATAAACAGAGTTACCGATATTTGTAGCAATAAAAAAAAAAGGTTAGTATAATTTTAGAAGCATTTGCTTTTCAACTTTATCAGGAATTAAGCAGGTAATCTAAAAAAAAAAAATTATAATAATAATTATTATTATCAAAATTTACAAAAAAATCTTTCTTTTTAGATATAATAGTATCTAGAATTTCTAAACTTTTGAATAAGACAAATTTCTCTCAACTTTTTAACGTTATTTGATGGGAAGGGCATTTTATAAGCGCAACCTCCTACATCAAAGAATTTAGGACAATATTCGGGTGCTTCCGACATAACACTAATAATAATTATTATTATTATTATTATTATTATTATTATTATTATATGATTATAAAATTAACAAAAAAAAAAAGAATCTTTTTAGATATCTTTTAGATATACATACCAGGAATTTTTAAATTTTTTTTTTTTTTTTTTTTTTTTTTTAATATTTAGGTGACCACTTAGGCCCCTGGCACTTTATTAGTTCAAACGGG